GAAAATTTAAGAACCACCAAGTTAAATAAATCATTATTAGAAAGTAACAGAAATGTAAATATACTCAGTGCACTCATTTGCTTATAGGTAGCTAAGACCCACCAAAACTTGTACTCTCAATTTAATAACTACCCTATATGTCACTTTGAGGGTGTAATGAGTAAAAAATCAGTTAACACCTCACTCTAACAAAACATAAATGTCAACTAGACAGTTATTTGCTTGAAAGCTTGGGAGAGCATAAAAAAACAGTCTTGTCAATTGTTCTCACAGTTTCCAAACAGATAGATGAGAGTTTTTTTCTTATGTGCTTTCTAAGACTTAAAGCTATTGAAATTGGTATGTAAAGTTTTATTAATCGTATGTTGAAAGGAATACGTAAGTTATGTTCATGGGATATTTTGTCTTTAGATTAATGATTGTGTGACTTTTCCTCCTATAGGCATCCTGCGAAGGAAGGTAGAAGAGGTAACACGGGTTTTTGAGGATTATCGTCATAAGGCCCATGCATACAATGTCAACACTGCTTTTTATTGAATAACCATATCTTCAGCATGTCTTTTTAATATTTCATCTTGATCTTAATGAATTGTACATGCCTTTTCATTTAAATATTATACTGTTGATTATTATACCTTAGTTTTGTTTTTAGTATTAGAAAATGAAAATTATACTAGCGTCTTTGTCCAGACAGCAACCTATTAGATGTTGACCCTGTATGTATAATTTATGTCTTAGTCTCCTAGGTTCTACATTCTGGCATCAGCACACATCATCCTTCTCACTCCAATTAAATCGTAGGGTGATGTTTGCCAAAAGTACATGCCAACCTGTATAGTGCTAGATACTGTAAAGTCCCTTCTCAAAGGAACCTACTGTATAGTTTGAGATATAATTAATGCTTGTCTGTATAGAAACAATATAGATAATATAAAGAAGTACAGTATGAATTACAGAGAGTGTGTTATAGAGATTCAGCACAGGGAGGAAAAGTTAAGAGTAAGTTATTGTTAAAAGGTTAAGGAAAGGTAAGTTTTAGGAAATTCAGTTATTTTTAATGTATGGATATATTGATATTTTATTTGGTTTTAGCATATGATTTATAGTTGTTGGTTTCTGTGTATTTGTTTGCTTTTCTTTTTCTTTTTTTTAAGACTAAGCCTCGTTATTAGGTTTGAAACAGTCTGGTCTCCTGTATTTCATGTTTCACCTAAGTCATAAATAAAGGTAATGTTCTAAAATAGTAAACATGTAATACTGAAATTAATTATTAAAAGTTTTTAAGTGAATAGAGCTCAGTTACCTATAATTTATTGAGCTAAATTTTCTGCTGTACTGACTGCATGTGACCATCCTGACGGATACACATTACACAAAGAAATATTTTTGAAATGAATATTAGCCATGATTAGTCTTATGAGCAGACTAATGCCAAAATTTACATGGACTCTTTTTTTTCTACCCAAACTTTTCCAAGCAGAAGCTTCTTATCCAGTAAGTTTTTGTAACCACTTAGAATTATAGATTGTGAAAATAATCCAGAGCTCATATAATCTTGTGGATGATTTCTGTAGATAAACACAACTTTTAAGTATAATCTTTAGTGATCTCTAATTTTTTAGTTCAGTATTATCACTCTTATACCCTAGATAATAGTAATAATAAAGACATTTTCCCCACTGCTTCTGGAGATTCAACTTTTATAAAGTAGCCTATATATAAGTTCTACATTCAGTAATGAGAATATAGTGTATCAGCGGAAACACTGACTCTAGTCTTGTTCCTACCTAATTAACTGGACAAATAATTTCATCTTGGGCGTTATCTTTTTCCATGAATGAAAAAGGTAGATCATATTAGGGTTTGCCAAACTGTCTTGTGAGAAGTAACTGGTTTTCATTTCTCTGAAGTATTGAGATGCCTGTATATCTTTTCACTATGAGTAGAGTGCTTACTCTATACTTCCTAAGTAAAATAAAGAAAAAGGAGACTACAGTATTGCTTATACTATCTTACTGTTACATTATCTTCTGTGGGAGTTCTAGTGTTTTTCCCAGTACATAGAAGATGCCAGAGGATGGCAAGTGGCTTCTAGATCAATCTAGTAATGCTATTAAGACTTACAGGGTGATCACAGTGTACTGTCTGGAATTGCACATTGGACTAAATCATCTCTAAGATTCTTTCTGACTCTGTTTCTAATGTGTACAGAAATGACATTGTTGAACAAATATTTTTTGTTTGTTTTTTTTTGAGACAAGGTCTTGCTCTGTCACCTAAGCTAGAGTGCAGTGGGGTGATCTCAGCTCACTGCAACCCCTGCCTTCTGGGCTGAAGCAATTCTCCCACCTCAGCTTCCCAAGTAGCTGGGACTACAAGTGGACACCACCACATCTGGCTAATTTTTGAGTTTTTTGTAGAGACAGGGTTTTGCCCTGTTGCCCAGGTTGGTCTTGAACTCCTGAGCTAAAAGGAACGACACACCTTGGCCTCCCAAAGTGCCAGGATCACAGACAGGAGCCACCATGCCCAGCCACGTTGAACAACTCTTGTTTTTTTTTTATGATTTTTTTCCCCATTTATTTATTTTTTAGGTTTTGGGGTACATGTGAAGAACATGCAAGATTGTTGCATAGGTACACACGTGGCAGTGTGATTTGCTGCCTTCCTCCCCATCACCTACATCTGGCATCTCTCCCCTTGCTATCTCTCCCCAGCTCCCCACCCCCCACCGTCCCTCCCCTATTTCCCCCCGACTGAACCCAGTGTGTAGTGTTCCCCTCCCTGTGTCCATGTGTTCAAGAACAACTCTTAATTAAAAGGTCAGAAATGCAGAAATAACCTATTTTTGATAGTAATGTTAAAGCACCATTTATGTTAGCCACTGGAATCTTCAGCCCCTTGTGACCATTGTTAACCAGCTAACATATTAGCGGAAGAAGTCTTAAATGTAAAGTGTTGACACTCTCCCAGTACATACCCATTTTTTATCTTTTGAAAAGATAGTATATTTATTTTCTATAACAGCATTTATGCTATTTCATTTGGGAAATTTGAAAGACGTGCACAGTTGTTTACTCTTAATGTTAGATGGTAAGTAGATTCAAGAGAAGATTTTTGGTTTTAACACTTCTTCCATATACTGGAAAGGTTACTGCTTCATAATGTAGTCTTCAGAAGCATGCCACAAACAAAGTACCTAAAAAAGGCAAACCCAGAAAATGTGTCTCTGTTAAGGAGGAGCTTCTGGATTAAACTAACCTTGTTAAATTGTCAGAAAGACAAATGAGGCATATTTTTCAGTTTGTCATAAATTCTTCTTGGGGTAACATTGTGAAATTACCTTATGGTAAGATCTCTGTGCCCATGTAATATAACATCTAGAGATCTCCAAGGCTTTGTATACACTGTCTGATATCCTTTTAAGCTGGGGAGAAGGATGTTGTGGAAAACAGAATGGCTATTATTACACAGTTAACAAGTTTGGCAGAGTTGGAAATGGCCTTGTTTCCTTTTTAGTGTAATTTTCTGAATGTTTGTCTTTTTGTACCTATCACTTACACTGGTTACAGTTATACACAGATATGTAGAGTACTTCTTATGATCTTGCTTTCCAGTTGCAACTCCACAGCTATGTGAGTATGTATTTTATCTATTCATTCTCCACTCATCCCACCTAGTGGGTTTGTAATGTATGTGTATCATTTCAATATCAATAGGCTATATGTTTTAATAGAAGTTGTACACAAGTTTGGTGTAATAGTTTGTATAATATTTGTTCCACCCTTTGCCACCGTCCCAGGGGATAAGCACACTAGCAACCTTGGTGTAATTTTTTTCATTTCCTTGTCAATGTGTCAGTTTGGACAGGTTGGTTGAGCCACAAAATTCAGGTCTACCACTGTATAGGATTTACCTGATGCAGGTGATGATGTGACCCCCATTTTGTTTTTACTTATAATATATTCAGTTCAGGTTCTGTGCCAGAGCTACAAAGTGGTACATGTTATGCCTACAGTCATTCACCTGTATGCTTCAAGAGCACAGTTATTTGCATATGACAGGTCTTAGATAACTCACCATGATATTTTCAATCTGATAGAAGTTCTCAGGACAGGAAATTCTACAATGTTTTTCAGTAGCTGGTTTTTGGTCCTTCGCTCTAACTTGAGCATGGCAATACAAAGCAGTTTGAAAAAGTCTAAATCTACTGATTAACATTGGAATATTTACTTATAGATTACCACCCAATCATGGAATAACTTTAAAACCATACCTTTGTATGTGCTTGACAGTCACTCTATTTTTAGTTTTTTTGTTTGTTTGTTTGTTTGTTTTTGAGAGAGTTTTGCCCTTGTTACCCAGGCTGGAGTGCGATGGCGGAATCTTGGCTCACTGCAACCTCTGCCTCCTGGGTTCAAGCAATTCTCCTGCCTCAGCCTCCTGAGTAGCTGGGACTACAGGCACACGCCACCATGCCCAGCTAATTTTTGTATTTTTAGTAGAGACGGGGTTTCCCCATGTTGACCAGGATGGTCTTGATCTCTTGGCCTCATGATCCACCCGCCTTGGCCTCCCAAAGTGCTGGGATTATAGGCGTGAGCCACCGTGCCTGGCCCACTCTTTAGAGGTATCCCCATTTTACAGATGAGAAAACTGGCCTACGCCAGTTAAAGAAACTTACTGAAACCCACACAGTCTAGTAAGTTATCAGAGCAAAAATTCAAGTCCAGATTGCCTCTAAAACCCTGTTGTGTAATACTGTCAACTGAGAGGTGAGATTCAAATCTAAGTAGTGTGCCCCTTGCCCCCATTACCTACAATCTTTTCTTCTTTTTTTCAATTAAAAAAGTATTGACTAGGTAATATAGTCATGGGTTCAAAATTCAAAGGGCACAAGAAGATACAGTGAAGATTTTTTTCTGCACTTGTCCCTCAGCCATCCAGTTCCCCTACCTGGAAGTATTCCCTGATCATTTGTCTGTAAGTTCTCTCAAAGATATTTTGTGCATATACAAGCAAACACATATATGTAAGTTTTTAAGTGAATAGAGCTCCCTTTTTTATGCAAATGAAAGCATAGTATACACATCATGCTGTACCTTGCTATTACACTAACTGTATTTTGGAGATTGTTCAGTAGCAGTCTGTAGAGAACTTTGTCATTTTTGTAACTGCTATATAGTTTTTCATGGAATGATGCATTTTCATAGTATGTTCATGGATATTTTCATTTCCATTATTATAAAGAATATTGCAAGGAATGATAGGTTAGAGGATATATAGTACTGAGGATTCTATTCATAACTGTTGAATTGCTGCTTTAAAGGGAATATACAAGTATGATTTTAGTAGTATCCTCATTTGCCCCCCATAGATGTTGTGCCAATTTATATTCCTACCACAAGTGTATTGAGAGCACCTATTTCCCTACAATCTCAATAAAACTAGTGTGTTATCAAACTTTTGGGTCTTTCTTAATCTGTTAGGTGAAAAATGATACTGTAGTGTACTTTTAAAAATAAACTTTAATTTTTAAACAATTTTAGTTACAGAAAGGTTGCATAGTACAAAGTTCCACATATCTGCAACTCAGTTTCCCTTGCATAACTCTGATACATTTGTCACAGCTAATGAACCTGTTATTAACTAAAGAGCATAGTTTGTTCACATTTCCTTAGTTTTTACCTCATGTCTTTTTTTCTGTTCCAGGATCCCATCCAAGATACTGCATTACTTTAGAGTCATCATGACTCCTTTGATTCCTTTTGGCTATACAGATTCTCTTATTTTTGATGACCTTGCTAGTTTTAAGGAGTACTGGTAGTCAGTGTACTTTAAAATTTGTGAAATTGGACATCTTTTTATACACTTAAAGACATTTGCATTTCCATTTCTGGGAAGTAAGAGCCCATGCTTTTAACCACTATACTATACCTCTTTCTTGATTCACCATAATTATCAATAAAACATTTGTGGGTCTGAATACACACAGACTTCTGATTTTGAGTGGAAAAAACTCCCAAGTATCTGTTATAGATAGAGGAGAACCATTAGTACAGGTGATATATAGTCAGACTCATGTCTGATGACTCTGGCTACAACGTGAAGAATGAAGCAGAGGCTCGACTGTAAATGGTAGATAGGCTGGATAAATCCTTGAAAGAAAAGCAGTGTTGATGAGAAGTTTAAGGGAAATACAGAAAATCCAGGAATTAGTGGTAATGGATGAGAGAATCAAGAAGTCAAAGGTGACTCAGCTTTATGAGCTGGATATTTTGCGTCTTCTCTTGAACCTAGATGAGAAATTCAAGATAAATATTTGGACAATGTTCAGCATACCTGTCACTCGAGACCTACTTTCTCTTTCTGTTGCTGTAGCTCTGTGCTACTACAATTCCCAGAGCCCCATGCTTCGTCACAATCCCCTTAGAGTCTGCCGCGCGGAGTTCTGGGAGTTGAGGTCCGCGGCCTGTTTACCGAAGTTACAGATAGTGGCCTGTGGAAACATGAAGAGGTAAGGGCTTGTCTGAGGAGCAGGCGGCAAGGGGAGCTCTGTTCTACCTTTTCTTTTGAAAATGGCTTCTATTGCTTTCTGGTTTGGGTATTGCATGTTCTCGGGATGCGGTTTCGTGGAGGCAGGAAGACAAAGGAAACGGGAGGAGGGAGATGTGCTGAACAGGCCTGCAGAGCGAAGTTCAGGAAGGGCTGCCACCGAGGCCGGCTGCTGTGGGATTGCCCTCCCGGGACGGGCCCCGACAGCTGGCCAGGTGCTGCGGCTTCGTAGTTTCTCACGGACCCAATTAGGTAAAAGGGTTTGGGGCTGGCTGATTCCCAGCACCGGAGATTGAGGTACCTGGGGCCAGCCCCTCCCCGTCCTGCCCTACCTCCACCTCCACCTCCACCTCCACCTCCACCTCCACCTGAGAAAGGGGCTTCGGACGGGCATATTTATTTGCAACATGTGTATTAAAGACGACTTGCTCGGGCCCCGAAACCACGTAGCGCTCTCCAATCTTAAAGTAGGGGAGCGGTACTTTGTTTCTAAATGTAGAAGGACAACACCAAAGCGGTTCGATTTGTGGGTTGGGGGGGAAAAAGGCATTGCTGGGCGCAGTTCCCCGTACTGGTTCTGAGGTAAATGGCCGGCCGCTTGAGCCTAAATGGCCTCAGCCTCCCAACTATTGACCGGCTTAAATTAGTTTTAGGTTCACTCTGCAAGTAGAATCATCACTCTGGAATAGTGTAGTGCATTTAAAATACTTACTGATATGCTTTCCCGCACTGTCAGTTCCTTGGATCTTTTTAAAAATCGTTACTGATTTTCCCTGCCTGAAACTAACCTTTAACTTTTTTTTACCATATCCATGCAAAATAATGTATAATGTATATATACAGCTTAAGGAATAATAAAGGTGCGCATCCACTACAAGCTTAAGAAATAGGACATTGCCAGTCCCTCAGAAGTCTACTGTGTCTCCTCCCTCCCTTCGTTTCCCCATCAGGTGACCACTATCCGGACTGTGTGTTACTAAGTCTCTTGCTTTTCTTTTCTTTTTCTTTTTATTTGTTATTATACTTTAAGTTCTGGGGTACATGTGCAAGACGTGCATGTTTGTTACACAGGTATACATGTGCCATGGTGGTTTACTGCACCCATCAACCCATCATCTACATTAGGTACTTAAAAACAGAAATAGTTTCTAGTACATATGTATTTATCCCTTAACAAAATGTTCCTAGTTTTATCTATTTTTCAACTTTATACAAATGGACACATATCGTATGAATTTTTTCTGTGACTTGCTTTTTAAAATTTTTACTCAACATTTCTTTTTGAGATTCATCTGTGTTGATGTGTAGAAACTTTAAACTTAGTAAGAACTTTTGGAATTCTAAGTAATAAAACATTGAGATACTTAAAAGGAATTTTTTAAAACCTTGGGCCTAAAGATAATTTGCAATTTTCCAAAATAGGGCCAAGTCTTTCTAGAGCGTGGGAATATTGCTTATAATTATGGTTGTTAGTTTTTCTAGGCTTTATCATATCCTCACTAGGAAAGGGCTGTTTTATAAGGAAAGTATTTGATATTTGTTTTCTTCCTAGAGTTAACTCATTTTTTGTACTTTTTAAATAATCTGTTGTTACATGCTTAAATGGCCCTGTCATTTTTTTACACTCTAATAAGCATTTTTACTTACTTAGTGTTAGTTAGCTAATGCAAGGCATGGCCTAAATGTCTGTGCAGTGGTGCCCAGGCTATAAAAATGTTATAACTGTCTTCATATTTCTTTCTGTACTCACCCCTTTGGAGATCTCCTCCTCAGAGCTCCACATCTTGTTAACACAGCTGACTCAAGATTTATACATTTAGCCTCTGACTCTCATCTATACAGTTATCTCATCTCCTATTTTCCATTTAGCCCGCCACTCATGCTGTTCCCTCAGAGTCAGTGTCTTTGAAGTATTCCTGATACTTCATGCTGGCATTTGCATTGTAAAAGGTGCTAGATTCAACATGACTAAAACAATACTGACTTTCCCTTTCCCAAACCATTTATTCCATCTGGAGCTTTGTCTTTCCTTCATTGGTACCGTTGTTCTCTCAGTTACACAGACTGAAATGTTGGGACTTTCTTTGACTTCCTTGCCTCTGCCTCCAAAAAGCCTCTTTCATCTAACCTTTCCTTTCCATTTTCATTATTACCATTTCAGTCTAGACCTTTATCACCTTACACTTCAGTAGTTTCATAACTAGTTCTTGTTTCTTCCCTTTGAATCTGTATGGCTTATTATAAACACATTTATCTGTGTCACTTGCACTGTGTCACTTAACTGCTTGATAAATTCCTTATTCTCATTATCCTTCAGTATATGCTACTATCCCTTTGTACTCTCTTTCCCTGTTCTCCTTTTCTTCATCGCACTCAATCCTTTGAATGTCAACTTAAGAACACCTTTCTTAAGTTTTCCTTTATCACCTTATCTCCCGATTATCTCTTCTGTGAAGTTCTACTAATTTGATACTGCTTCAATGTGTTATTCTTCTCTCCCCCACCCAGGCACATGCACACAACACATACACACACATATGTTTCTTTTCCCTAAATACATCATGGGCTTCTTGAGGGTAGGGACTATGTCGTAAACATCACTGACTTCCATCAGTACCTAGCATAGTGCCTTCTGTGTAAACAGGTAGTAAGTGTTCATGGACTGAATGATAAAGGGTAATGAATTATTGGAGAAGTGTCTTTGAATAAATGGGGTCACTAATGGTAGATAATATGGATAAGGAATATATTTTGAGACTCACAGTCTCTTCTGTTTTCTGTATATATTCTTGTATTTACTCCAGGGTCAACAGCTGTGTGAAGAGTGATGAGCATGTCCTGGAGGAGCTGGAAACAGAAGGGGAGAGACAGCTGAAAAGCCTCCTTCAGCATCAACTTGATACTTCTGTCTCTATTGAAGAGTAGGTATTGATTTTGCAATCAGAAAGTATCATAGACTCTTACCTCCAGATGACAAACCTCTCCTAAAGCTTGGATGGAATGCTCCTCTCCCACCTCCCTTTCTTTGTCAGACTTCAATGTATTAGGCAGGGTTTTGATTCTGTGTCTCTTCCTCTGGGAAGCCTCCCATATCTCACTAAGCCTGGGCCAAGTACCTATTTTTTCTCCTCCTATAGCATCCTATATTTCCCTTAACGTAGCACTTGAAACCCAATATTATCATTGCCTCTTTACTTGCCTCTGTTCCAGTGTTTTTCCACAAAAGCAGGAGCCATTTTTATCTTTTTTTCAAGCTGTTAAATCCTCAGCACCTAGCAGAGTGTCTGATGCATAGTAAGTACTCAGTATATATTTGTTCATTTCATTATTTATTATTCTTGGATGAGGGGACTATTGATGGAGTTCCATTTTGTTGCAGTGGTGCCTCAGCTTAGAAATAAGATGTAAGAGAAAATTTGCTAATGAGTTTCATTGTACGTCTTACAATGTTGAGCCTCCATTTTTGTGAATGGTAGTAACCTCAAGATGTTCTTACTCTCCTCCTGCATGTTTTGCAGATGTATGTCTAAGAAAGAGAGCTTTGCTCCTGGTACTATGTACAAACCCTTTGGGAAGGAAGCAGCTGGGACTATGACTTTGTCCCAGTTCCAGACACTACATGAGAAGGACCAGGAAACTGCTTCTCTCAGGGAATTAGGGCTTAATGAAACAGAAATCTTGATCTGGAAGAGCCATGTTACAGGTGAAAAGGTGAGTGGGGTAATGTTTTTTTGTTTGTTTGTTTTTCTCCTTGAGGAAACAGAGCAAAATCTCTTCATTTTGGCATGGAGAGCCTTTTCATTTTTAGTGCTCACAAAACTGAGCTTGGTGTCTGAATCGTCCTTGATTTTTAGAATATATACATTGGTAAAAGAGAAGTTGTTCCTTGACTTCTTAGCTAACACTTTCTATAAACATTCATTTCTAGGCCCAGGTTATCTTTTGACTTGAGACATAAGATCATCATGTTCAGGTTGTGTCCTCTATGATATATGCCATCTCATTCCTCTGGTTTCAGAAAACGAGACTGAGGGCAACTCCTGAAGCAATACAGAACCGTCTTCAAGATATTGAAGAAAGGATCTCGGAGCGTCAGCGCATTCTTTGCCTGCCACAGAGATTTGCAAAGAGCAAACAGCTGACCCGGCGAGAAATGGAAATAGAAAAGTCTTTATTTCAGGGAGCTGATCGTCACTCCTTCCTTAAGGCTCTTTATTACCAAGGTATGTGATCCTCACTGACTTTGATATGTTCTTTCACTGAGAGAAAGATTAAACAGCAGGGCATTAAATATGAAGAGTTAGTGAAGGGAGTAGGGGAGAGACAAACTGTCACAACGTTTGAGAAATGTATGCCAGAAGAGAGACAAATATGTGCACAGTTAGTTGCATGACAACATAGAAATTGCTATTATGGAGATTTGAATAAAATGCTGACGAAGCACAGAACATAGAGCATCCAAGTCTAGTTGGGGGAGTCAGAAGTTGACATTTATACTAACTCCTGATGGATCAACAGGTGTTTGTCAGGTAAATAAGGGGGAATGGACATTAAAGGTAGTAAATAGGAACAGGGTTATGAAAGAACCTGGTGTGTCTAAGGAACAATGAGAAGTTTGATGTGGCAGGAGTAGAAGGAGTGGCAGGGAATGACAGGAGGTGACACTGGAAGGAAGGGAAGGCAAAGGTAGATTGTGAAGTCTTTAGGCTGAACTACAAATTAGCACAAAATACATAGATAAATAGTATGGGTCTTAACCAGAAGGAATTAGTTTGACAGATAATTTTACTAGGCACTGCAGAAGGTGCACGGAAGTTTGAGCATGGTTCCTTACCTTGTGCCAAATATAGTATGGTTGGAGAGATAAACATGTAACATTTAGTGACAATACTAGATACATTTGCTAAGTGTTGTTGGAGTTCAGAGGACGGAAAGGCCACTGTGTATTGGTATGATTGAAGAAGGCCTCTCAGAGGAGGTAAGATTTAAATGTTCTTTTAATACTACCTATTCTTTAGAAAGGAGAGGTAATGGCATTTCAATTGCAACAGATGGTATAAGCACTATGGAGTGTGCTTACTATGGAAGAGATGTGAGACAAGGTTAGAAAGGTAGCTAAAAATTTTGAACTGTATTTGTTGACTAGTAAAGACCTATACAGAGTTAGTTATCGGTTAGTTTGAATATGGTTGAAGGTTTTTGAACCAGAAGTAACATGATAAAAGCCGTATTTGAAAGTTATTAATCTGGTAATCAATAATAGGATTAGAGAGAGGAAGAACTGGAAGCAGGGAGAATGGATAGGAGATATTACAGTCATTTAGGCATGAAGGCTGAATGATAGCAGTGGAATTGGAGAGAGGTAGGTTTACAAGGGAAGAACCAGTAAAACTTGTTGACTGAAAATGGAGGGAGGTCAATGGAGAGGTATGTGTCAAAGATAATTCAGATGTTTCAAGGATGTATGACTTACCGATTGGCGAAATTAAGAAAGCCTTTATGGGGAAATTTTGAGGAAGGATAATTAGATTGATTTTAAACATGTTGAATTTGTAAGAATGGCACGATCATCAAATGCAAATGTTGAGGAGACAGTTGGAAATGCAGCAGTGAAGCTCAGGAAAGAGGTCAGAACTAGATACATGGAATTGGGAATCATCTATCCATAGATGACACATTAAGGCCATGGGAATGAATGAATCATTTATTAGAGACAGAAAGACCATAGACATGGCAGAGCAGTCGTGCAGGAAGGAATGAATGAGCAAATGAATAGCCTTTTGCGGAGAAACATTTAGCATAATGATTAAGAACATGGGCTCTGGAGGCAGACCACCTGTGAAAATCCTGGCTCCCCCACTTACTAGCTATGAGATGCTAGGCAAGTTACTTCTCTATGTTTCAGTATCTTCATCTGTAAAATGAGAATATTAATAGTAGCTGTGTTATAGGGTATTAGGAGGGTTAAGTGAGATAATACAAGTAAATCACTTAGAGCAGTACCTGGTATTTGGGGTGGAGGGTGGGTGGTGTATGAATCTGTTCTGTTTCCTATCTTTGAAACTCCTTGCTTTAAACCTTCACAGCATACCACAAAAAGACAAGTGCAGACAAGTACATGACCTCAATGAAGAGGAAGATAAAATTAGGCACAAAAGGCAAGTCGAGAGTTTTCTTATAGTGTTAGATTTAGGAATGTAACCTAGGGTCCCAGACTTCTAAGTTGAGCACTTATTTAATTCCATATTCAGTATATGACAATGTTTATAGGAAATGATCCAGAGGAAGCATATTATCCTGATACAGAATATTAAATAGAGGCATTAGTAGAAGTTGTAAAGCTGTTACATATAGTGCTGTTGTTTTTTCTTTATACATTTAAGTTACTGTACCAGACATAAATTGACCTTAATGATTTTTATATCCCATTTCGCAAATGATTCTGAATATTTTTATTAATCAGTAAAGTATAATTATTGATGATGATAATGATATGATAGTTAATATTTTCTTATTTTTGAAATGAACTTCCAATAAAATTGCATGGGGCTTCTTTTTTTTTTGGCATACAATTCTGTGAATTGTAAATCATGTAGATTCATGTAATCACCACCACAATCAAGAGAGAGAACAGCTCCATCACCTTAAAAAATTCCCTCATGCTGTCCCTTTATAGTCACTCCCAACCCACCATAATTCCTGAGAATCACTGACTGTTATCCATCACTGTAGTTTTATCTTTTAGAAAATGTCATATAAATGGATTCATACAACATGTAACCTTGTGAGATTGGCTTCTTTCACTCAGCATAGTGCCTTTGAGACTCATTTGAGTTGTTGTGTGTATCAGCAGTTCATTCATTTTGCTGAGTAGCATTTCATCATACGGGCGTTCCAAAGTTTGTTTATCCTTTCACCCACTGAAGTGCATTTGGGTTGCTTCCAGGTTATGATGGCTATGCATAATATTGATATGAACATTCTTGTACAGGTTTTTTTGTGAACATAAGTTTTTATTTCTCTAAGGTAAATATCTAGAAGTGAGATTACTGGTCATATGGTAAGTGTACATTTAACTTCATATGAAACTGCCAAACCATTTTCCAGAGTGGCTGTACCATTTTGCATTTTCACCAGCAATGTATGAGAGTTCTAGTTGCTCTACATCTTTGTCAGCACTTGGTATTGTCAGCATTTATTTTGGTTATTCCAATAGCTGTGAAATGGTACCTCATTGTAGTTTTAATTTGCATTTCCTTAATGGCTAATGATGTTGAACATCTTTCATATGCTTATTTGCCATCCTTATATCCTGTTTGCTAAAGTGTCTGTTCAAATCTTTTGCTGTTTTATAATTGGGTTGTTTATTTTCTTCCTGATGACTTTTGAGAGTTCTTTATATATTCTAAACTCAATCTCCTGTTGGATATGTGATTTTAACACATTTTCTCCCAGTCTGTAGTTTGTCTTTTCATTCTCGTTAACTGTCTTTTGCAGAGCAAAGTTTTTTTATTGTGGTAAAATATATATAATGTAAAATTTACCATTTAAACCATTTTTAAGTGTGTAGTTCTGTGGCATTAAGTACTTTCACGTTGTTCTGAACTATCACAACCATCCATCTCCAGAAATTTTTCATCTTCCCAAACTGAAACCCTGTAATCATTAGACACTAACTCCCCATCTCCTCCACCCCCACCAGCCATTGGCAATCACTATCCTACTTTCTGTCTCTATGAATTTGACTACTCTGTTTCTATGAATTTGACTACTCATAAAATTGGAATCATACAATATTTGTCCTTTTGTGGCTGGCTTATTTTTGTTAGCATAATATCTTCAAAGTTCATCTCAGTTGTAGTATGTGTCGGAATTTTCTTTTTAAGGTGGAGTCATATCTCATTGTATGTATATAGCACATTTTTTTATTGATGGATGCTTAAGTTGTTTCCATGTTTTAGGTTTTGTGAATAATGCTGCTACAAACATGGATGTATACCTGCTTTCAATTATTGTGGGCATATACTCAGAAGTAGAATTGCTGGATCACATAGTAATTCTACATGTAATTTTTTGAGAAACTGCCATATAATTTTCCATAGAGACTGTATGTACTATTTTACCTTCCGACCAGCAATGCACAAGATAAGAGTTCCAGTTTCTCCATACCCTTGGTAACACTTGTTATTTCTTTTCTTAAAAAATAATAGCCGTCTTCATGGGTGTGAAATGCTATCTTATTGTGGTTTTGATTTCAATTTCCTTGATGATTAGTGCTGTTGAGCATCTTTTCGTATGTTTTTTGGCCATTTGTATATCTTCTTTGGAGACTTACCTGTTCAGATCTCTTGTTCATTTTAAAAATAAGTTGCTTGCTTGTTGTTGAGTTGTAGAAGTTCTATATATATTCTGTATATTAATTGCTTGTAAGATACATGATTTGAAAATGTTTCCTCCTGTTCCAGGAGTTACCTTTTCACTCTGTCTTTTGATGCACAGAGTTTTAAATTTTGATGAAGTCCAATTTGTTGATTTTTTTCTTTTGTTGTCTGTGCTTTTCATGTCATATCCAAGAAATCATTGCCAAATCCATTGTTATGAAGGCTTTTCCTTAGGTTATCTTCTGCAAGTGTTATAGTTTTAGCTCTTATATTTAGGTCTTTGAATGAGTTAATTTTTGTATATGGTATAAGGTAAGAATTCAACTTCATTTTTTTCATGTTGATATTCAGTTTTCCCAGTACCACCTGTTGAAAAAAAGACTGTTCTTTCCACACTGGATCATCCTAGCACCCTATTCAAAAATCATTTGACCATATATGTCTGTCCTTATGCCAGTACCACACTGTTTTAATTATTATAGCCTTGTAGTAGGTTTTGAAATCAGGAAGTGGGAGACTTCCAACTTTGTTATTTTTCAAAATTGTTTTGGATATTTGAGGTTCAGTTGAGATTCCACATGAATTTTATAATGGATTTTTCTATTCCTGTAAAAAATGTTATTGAGATTTTGGTAGGCCTTGCATTGAATCGCTTTGGTTAGTATTGACATCTTAACAGTATTGTCTTCTAATTGATGAAGATGGAATGTTTATTTGTGTCTTGTTTAATTTCTTTCAGCAACATTTTGTAGTTTTCAGTGTATAACTCTTTCACCACAGAGAAAATGTTTTCAAGTCTTGTAAAATCTTGTGTATCAATTGATCCTTTCATGGGTTGCTATTTATGTGTGTGCATTTATATGTGCCTAAGAACTCTACCTGTTCATGGAAAAGATATTTTCCTGTCTTTTCTTCTGATAGTTATATAGTTGTACATTTTACATTTAGATTTATGATCCAATTTGACTTGATGTTTATATAAGGTATGAACTTTAAGTTCACGTTTTTTTGGTTTCAAATGTCCTGTTGTTTCAGAACCAACTATTAAAAGAGTATTCTTTCTCCATTTACTTGCCTTTGTATTTTTGTCGGAAATTAATTGGCCACATTTGTGTGTTAATATGTAACCCCGTAATTAATCATGAAAAATTGAAATTCTTCCCCCAAGATCAAAAAAAGACAAAGATGTCTGCTCTTGCCACTTTTGTTCACAGTGGAATGAAATTAGAAATCAATAACTGAAGGACATTTAGGAAAATTACAAATATGTGGACATTAACACTCTACCAAACAGTCAATGAATTAATATGAAATCAAAAGGAACACTAGAACGTATTTTGAGATAAATTAAAACACAACATGCCAAAACTCATGACAATAAATTCAGTGTTGGGGGGATATTTAGCTGTAATGCCCATAGCTGTGTATGCCCATATTAATAAAGAAGAATGATTTCAAATTAATAACTGAAACTTCCACCTTAAGAACTAATAAAAAGGAAAGCAAACTAAATCCAAATCAAACTGATGAAAATAAATAATAAAAAAAGAGCAAAAATAAATGAAATAGAGGAAAAAATAGAGAAAGTCAGGAAAATCAAAAGTTCTTTGAAAAGATCATCTCATTTATAATCACTTAGCTAGACTGATGAAGTTAAACAGAAAGAAGACTCAAATTTCTAAAACTCAGTTCTACTTTGATTCTTATTTGTTTGGGTCATCTTTTTCCATCTTTTTGCTTTTAGTCTGTTTGTGTTTTTGAATCTGAAGTATGTCTCATGACAGCAAATAGTTTGGATTTTCTTTTCTTTTTTTAATTGATTATTTCAGTCTCTGCCTTTTGAGTGGAGAGTTTAGTTCATTTATTTTAATGTATTTAATTAGAGTCTGTTAATAAGGATTTACATCTGTTATTTTGCTTTTTGTTTTGTTTCTCTTGTATCTTTTTTGTTCCTCTGTTCCTCCATTTATTCCTTCTTTTATGTTAAATAGATTTTTCCAATGTGCCATTTCAATTCACTTCTTGCCTCTTTTACTAGTTTTGTGTGTATGTACATGTGATAGTGATTGCTCTGGGGATTACAATTAACCTCTTGGCTTAAATAAATTAATTTGTATTAAAACCAACTTAATTTCAATTATATTTGAAAACTTGGTTTAGCTGTTCTCTACCCCCCCCCCCCCCCCGCCACTTTCTACTATAATTGTTATACCAATTACACCTCAGAATGTGGCTTTTTATTAAGTGCCAGGCAGGTCAAATAGTTCCATCCAGATCAAATAGTGAGAATTCTCCAAGGATGGGGCTTTTGGGGTGTCCAGAACTGTTCTGCCGCTCCAGTTTCAGCTAGGCTGCTGGTTTTTGCAGCTTCTGTTTTTGTGAGATTGTTGATTTTCTAGGCTACTGCAAAGCTAGAGAAGGGGAGATGGGATTATGGAAAGTTGAAATGCTACAAACTTAACTGTTTGAGTTACATTCATCTCTTAGCATATAGATAGCCAATTGTCCTGGCACCTTTAGTTGAAAAGACTACCCTTTTCCATTGAATTGTCTTAATATCTTTGTGAAAAATCAATTGACAATAAATGTAAGAATTTTTTTTTATTTTTTTTTCCTCTTTATTTTCAGCAATTTGATTATGCCATGTCTCATCCAGGCATTACTTCTTTGTTATTTCAGAATTCTTGATTTCTTACCCCTTCCACCTGCTACCATTTACTCTTCATAGCCTTTAAATGTACCATACATTCTCTCCAGGCTTTATAACTTTATTCAAT